CCGCGGCCGGACACACACAACTGATGGCTGCAGGGGCTGCGTGTCCGGCGGGTGAGGAACAGGCCTGACCCTGCCGTGGGTTTCCAAAGCTCCTTCCAGCTGGCAGAGCATTAACAGCTCATTTTAATTGCCCCCAAATTGCGCAAAGGACTTATGTTTAGATCTGAATTTGAAAAGTTTAAAAAAATTAGATGACACAAGCCTTACAGAAGAAAGGGTTTTTTCCTTTTTTCCTCCAGTTACATGAAAGGGTGCTGATTTTTTTAACATCTTTATAAGTCTTAAAACAATTGACTGTTTGGCCCAGAAATAAGTTTACAAAACCCTGAAGAGCCATGAACTAGATCTCCCCATCCCCATCTCCTTCTGTACTCCCTACAGGTACCAAACCCAAGCCCCCCAACACAACACCTAAGTCCAGTACATACCTGGAAGCAGCCTCGGGTGCCCGGATCCCTGCAGCCCTCACCCTCCTCTCCTCGCAGCGAGGCCGACTCCGCAGCTCCGGCACCGAATGTGGCTCCAGGCTCACGGGGCTCCGAGGCAAGGGATTTCCAGGAGAGCGGTCAGCCAAAACCCTGGTGAGGTGGTGAGTGGGCAGGCTTGGCAGGTACCACCGTGGAAATCAATCCATTCGAGCCCTCAGCTGGTGATGGACTAGGTGGAAGCTGATGGAGATGAAGTCCACCTCCTCCGCTCCCCACAGCTCTTGCTGGTTCTCCCAGGCAGCTGCTCTGGCACCTTCAGCTGGCGGCACGTTGAGACTGGGACCATTGCTCTTCGAGGTCTGTTTCTCCACTCGCTCGTCCGGCATGCCAAGCAAGTGATTTTCGGGTCTGTAGAACAACCACGCTACCTTTCCTGTTCCTTCTTATTCTTGGCACAAAGGATTTTGAATCATTTCCAGCCGAGGTTACAAGCATGTAAGAGTCTGCACCGTGTGCTTTTTAAAGCGACCTTTAGTTGTAACATACACATAAACATCCAAATGGCTTTTAGTTGAGTAACTGTCCTCATATTCCTGAGGAAAAACTCTACAGTAAGATTTTTTTCCCTTTGCGTTTTACCTACTGCTTGGTTTTCAGATTTCAGCTTTGAGCAGTCACGTCACACCTCCCATCTCAGGTGGGGGGCAAAACAAGAACTAGAAAGAGCACAGAAATTCACATCACCTTGTTTCCCAGGCAGAGGACCAAAATACTGCTTGCAAAATACCAGTATTTTTATGCTACAAAAATACAATTAGGCTCTCAATTAAGTTTCATTAATTTTGCTCCTGGGAGTTTGTTAGCACAAGACAGCCGAAGGAACTCCCAGGGGCTCTCGCTAAAATCCTCTGCCCTAAGCCTCACCATGTCTCCAGCTACAGAAAGGGGAAAAATGATTATTTCAAAGCACCAGAACCCAAAATCCTGCAGCCACAAACTTGCCCTACGTCGTTAGCCCCGGGAACACGCTGGATTCACTCACTTGACCGAGGTTTTCTACGTGCACACCCACGCGTTTGCAGAAGCGGGGTGCTCGAGCGGCGGCTCACGGCCGAGACGTACACCGACAAACTGCTTCAACAACAGGACTCTCCGCCTGTTCTGGATACTGGCATCTCCCAAAGAAGAGAGCTTTCAGATGTCATTAAATTTTACTATTTTATTTGTGAAAAAACTACAAGCAGAATTCATAAATAGACATTTCTATTTAAAGCAGGAAAATGATAAAGTGGCTTCTAATAACAGTCGTGCACATGCCAGTAACAGGAATATATTAACATCTTTTATTTGCTAGACAAAGAGCAGTGTCCAATATAAATTTCCCGAAAACATTTAAGACCTGTGAATTTCTGACCAGTTCACAAAACCACCATTGACACTTTAGCATGAAGATTAAAACAAACCTAACAGGACTGTCAGCTCTAAAGACTTTACAGAGCGGAAAAACTTTCAAAAGCGTTATACAAGCTGTCTTTCTGGGCAAATGAAAAATATAGCTCGTATAATACATTAACATAAAAATCCACAAGATAAGATTATGTTTTGACATACTTAAACAAGCATTCTATATTTGTCTCCAACAAACAAAGCTAAGGAAATAATGTAACCATCTTTACACAGTAAATTAAGGTTACAAGTCATACACAAGAACAGAACTGCTTGCGCATTAAAAACTGTTCAGCTCCATTGTCATACTCTAAATGTTGGCTCTTAAAACCATTCGGTTACATACAAGCAAAGGTTATTATATAGTCAGCAATTAATAAATTTTCAATAATTTAAGTTTACGGTAGAGCTTAAAAAAGTAGACTGAGAATGATCTTGGTAAGGCAGGTGAAAACATCTCAGTGGAAATAAACTCACGGAAGCTGCTGCCAAATTTTCGGTCTGTCCAATTTGAAACAAGCAAAGTGTTCCAATTAAAATAAATAGCCTGGTGGTGTAAAACGCTGCCATTTTTCCTTTGCAGAACTACTTCAAACCGAGCAAGCCAGGCAAGCTGTGTCGGTGTCTGTGTGTGTCTGTGTAAGAGTCGAAACTTCGCAAACGTAACACTGTGCTTTACTTACCTGCTTTCTGTGCCACTGAACACCGCGAATCTGGTCCTTCCCCTACACTAGTGTTTCGGTTGGTCTGGGTCCTAAACGCGCTCCCCACCAGCAGCGGGACAACCCGCAGAGGGAACCCCACCCGTGGACGCGCGCCGTGGGGATGCTGACTGCAGAAACAAAGCGTAAAAGCAAATGCTATCCTTCAAATCCACAACACAACAGCTACGGATGAGGCCGGGGAGGCTCAATGCTTAGCTAGCAATTTCTACTGGATGCAGAATTACAGGTCACTTGTTCCAAAGAAATTGTCCCACTTATCTACAGCAAGCTACTTGATCGAGGAGGCACGCCCAAAGAGACAGATGTTACCAGTAGCCACGAGTAGCTGGTTACGGCATTAAAGCTTTTTCAACTGATCTACAGGTCCGTTTTCATTTGGAAAAGAAGCAATTTCCTGGTACACACAATGCTTTTTTTTCTTTTTCTTTTGCACAATTTCCCAGATTCGGGGAAGAAAGCGAGCGCGCGGTTTGACTTGAAGCACCAGAATTAGCCCCGCTGAAGCCACGGGGACTCGCCACTCGCTCACGCTCTTCGCCGGATCGCGGCCGAGACGCACGCAAGCCTAATTGATAATGGATCATTTATAAAGCAGTGCAAAATATACAAGTTCAGGGGCATCTTCAAAAAATCTCTCTTACAAAATTATTCCAATACATTTCAGTAAAATAAATAAATATGGCTGACCAGTTTACCCTCCCTGAGACCCTTAAAGGAATAGTAAAAACTGGAAAAGGAATGTCTTTGCAATATCCCACTAATGTTAAAATGTAGATTGAGAAATTCATAGTATTTAAAACTATGTATAATAAATTGTCTTGATGCTCATAGGAAGCATCTGGTTTCCTTTGGTTCTTTAATAATACTTTAAAAATGCTTAAAAAGGTAAAGACTGCCATTACTGTGAATACAAGCGCAATTAAGTCGGGGTGCCCACGTTAACATATTTGGAATAAAACCACTGCTGCAAAGGCACTGCCACTGCACACATCCTCGAGCAGGGGTGCTAACGGGTCCCTCACTCACACGCTTCTGTCACCAGTGTGAAAGGAACCTATGTCTGCTACTCCAAACCCCACAGGTTTTAAAAGAAATCTTAAATCAGTTGCCTCCACAAAGAGAAGTTACTTTTGCTAAGCAAATAATTCACAACATAACAAGCTGGCACGAAGTGGTCAAAATGCGGCCCTCTTTCATCACGCCCGCGTTATGCGTTTGATGTCCAACGAAGCCACAGCCTCTGCTCCCGAAATTACTGCAAAGCACCCTGGGGCCACGAAAGAAAGATGAAAAGCCAAAGAGGTTTGGGGTTTAACAAAAAGTTTGTTTCCCCTCTTCAGCCTAGTGTTTTAGCAGGATAATGCATGGAAGGTAAACTGTAAAGCAACACTAACAGGCCAGGAAAAGAAGTCACAGTCTGAATAGCTTTAGAACAAGAATGAAGGAGATGCTGGGCATGAGCATGAGCCACACGTGTCGCTCACTTGCCAGCACGAAAGCCTTTCCCT